CCTATCTCTGGAAGAGGAAATTGTTACGTCACAGAAGCTACCGATCTCCTGGGACTCGAATGGTGTATCCAAATGCCAGATTATCGTCAGCTCAAAGAACAGTACAACTGTCGACAAGCGACTGCAGCACTCGATAACCATCGCAACGAACTTGTTACTCACCTGAGAACACAGTTCCCTAATGTCTTCGCCCCAGGCCTTGGACGCTGTATTAAAACGAAGGCTAAGCTATTCCTAAAACCAGAGGCTCAACCAGTGTACCGTCACAAGCGACCTGTACCATTCGCCTCTCAACCAGCCGTCAATGCCGAAATCGATCGCCTAATCCAAGAAGGTGTACTCACAGCCGTGGACCACTCAAATTGGGCAGCACCAATAGTGGTGGTGAAGAAAAGCAATGGCAGTATCCGATTATGTGCGGATTTCTCCACCGGTTTGAATGACGCCTTATCACTTCATCAACATCCGTTACCAACAACGGAGGAAGTCTTTACCAAGCTCAACGGTGGACAGCTTTTCTCACAGATCGATCTGGCAGATGCATACCTACAAATCGAAGTGGACGATGAGTCAAAGGAACTACTCACGATCAACACACATCGTGGTCTTTTCCGCTATAATCGCCTACCGTTTGGAGTGAAATCAGCTCCAGGCATATTCCAACAGATTATCGATTCCATGATAGCAGGATTGCATGGCGTCGCAGCTTATCTGGACGACATAATCGTTACCGGACGCACTACTATGGAGCATCGCCAAAACCTGGAAGCACTTCTCCAACGAATAGAGCTATACGGATTCCGAGTACGAGAAGAAAAATGCCATTTCATGATGTCAGAGATCAAGTATCTTGGGAACATCATCGATGCCAATGGTCGACGCCCAGATCCCGAAAAGATTCGCGCTATCACTGAAATGCCAGAGCCGAAGGATATCGCACAACTCCGTTCGTTTCTCGGAATGCTGAACTACTACGGAACATTCATTCCTGAAATATGCCAACTTCGCGCTCCCCTCGACGCCCTTCTGAAGAAGAACGCTCAGTTCAAATGGACAAACGAATGTCAGAACGCTTTTGAGAAAGCCAAAGAAATTCTGGTCTCACCACTCCTGCTCACACATTATGACCACAATTGGATCTCATTGTTGCAGCAGACGCTTCTGACTATGGCATTGGAGCCGTAATCCTGCACCGATTCGCAGATGGATCAGAGAAGGCAATCAGCCACGCCAGTCGAACTCTCACAGAAGCAGAGAAGAAATATGGTCAAATCGAGAAGGAAGGACTTGCATTGGTCTATGCAGTTCGCAAATTTCATCGATATCTACTGGGACGCCAGTTCACTCTCCTCACAGACCATAAACCGCTTGTCTCTATATTTGGAAGCAAGAAAGGCTTGCCAGCATATACAGCAAATCGACTACTGCGCTGGTCACTAATACTTCGTGGTTATGACTTCAAGATTGAATACAGGAAAACCACAGATTTCGGACAAGCCGATGCATTGTCACGACTGATTGCCGACCAGAAGGAGCAAACCGAAGATATCATCATTGCAAACGCCTCAAATGATGCTGAATTCGAATGCAAGGCTGTGAAAGCACAGATTCCCATGGACATGAATCAGATCGCAGAAGAAAGTCTCGCAGACAATACGCTGAAGAGCGTGATCCAGTACGTTCGTGAAGACAAATGGCCAAAGAAACCTACGCCGGAGATCAGATCTTACTTCAGTCTCCGCCAGTCTCTCTCGCTCCAAGACGACTGCCTTTTCTTTGGACCAAGAATTGTAATTCCGGCGAAGCTCAAGGACCGTGTCCTGAAACTTCTACATGAAGGACACCCCGGAATGTCAAGAATGAAGAGCCTAGCCCGCTCATATGTCTACTGGACAAATATCACCAAGGACATAGAAGATTATGTTCGAACCTGCAGTAGCTGTCAAGAAGCGGCAAAAGCACCAGTCAAGACACAGCTATTCTCCTGGCCATACGAACAGAAACCATGGTCACGTATTCATGTGGATTTCGCAGGACCAATTGATGGAAAGATGTTCCTCATTATAGTGGATGCATACTCAAAATGGCCAGAAATCATGGAAATGTCTTCAACCACAAGCAAGGCTACAATACGGCAACTAAACAGAGTGTGCACCCGATATGGATATCCCGAAATCTTAGTTTCGGACAATGGAAGCCAATTCACTTCATTGGAATTCGAGAACTTCTGCAAAACGAATGGGATCGTCCATATACGCAGTCCACCGTACCATCCACAATCGAATGGACAAGTCGAAAGATTCGTCGACACTTTCAAACGTGGACTGGAGAAGCTGAAGGAATCCGAAACAACAACAGAGGCCGTACAGAAATTTTTGCTATCCTACCGCAGCACACCATGCTCATCTTCACCCGAAGAACGATCACCGGCAGAGAACTTCCTAGGACATCGTCTCCGAACGCCTCTCACTCTTCTGACGACACCTAGAAGCGTACCGACGGCGCGGAACGAAGCCATGGAGAATCAGTTCAACAGACACCATGGAGCCCGCATGAAATCGTTCAAGCCAGAAGAGCCCGTGTGGGTGAAAGCATTTCAAAGAGGCAGAAAGAAATGGATACCAGGAAAGATCCTCAACTGCCGCGGAAATACAGTATACGACGTCCTCGTGAATGAAGCCGTGGAATGTCGTCATGCAAATCAACTACGTCCACGCATGGCCGCCACACCAGAGCAGACATCACTGGAAAGCTACGACTTATCACCTGAACCGGCACATCGTGCGAAACCGTCGTTCCAGAATCCAGTGACTTCGGCAACACCAGATGCAACAATTAAATGTTCAGATTCAGAAGCTTCATCACGGAAGAAAACCACACCGCTCAAAGAACGCCCACAACGCAACCGCCGACCGCCGAGCCGACTCCAAGTCAAGCCACATCAGAAGACATACATGTAGACAAAAGAACTTACCCATTAATAAGATGAATGTTGTTATTGTATAAAAAAAACAATCCCACCATTGCATCTTAGGGGGGAGGTGTTGTGGCAGACCGCTCAATACTAATGAGCTCACTGCCCTAAGTGATAAATGGAGCGGTTGTTTACATTGGTTGTGTTAACAGTGATAGTTCATATTAGGTCTATAAAAGACCCTCAGTGCGGTGTGATGTCAGTTGTCTACTCGTGTGCAATAAAGCACTCTCGTCCGAAGTCTCAACACATGCCTTTTCAGGGCGGAGCGACAGTCAGCTGGATCGAGAAGACGACCAGCAGCAACGACCGAGGTCCGCGGCCTCATCTCTCTCTTCCTAAGGGCGAAGCCCTCAACATCCAGACCTGCCTGCTTGATCTCCGTTCATTCTTATGTGCGTATCGTATACACGTAGTTGTCTTACTTCAGAATACTTTTGCCTTCGTAAAGTGCCATGTACGTCGTTATGTGTGTAGTATGTTCGGTTCTTTCGTCTTTTCCTTATGTACTCATATGCCAGATAAACTTTAGTACTTATCGGTGTCAAAGCAGGTAGTGGTGCAGCTTCCATTGCGTGGCGTTCGCTTACTGGTAGCAGCGAGTGGTTCACCCCTCGCTCATGTCGGGACTTAGGAAGAGTCTTCCCCTTTTGATTTTTCGAACTAGCTCGAATGACGGCCGCTTCGAGTTAGTCATTCCACCTCGAAGATCAAAAAGGCGAAGATGACTGTGGCAGATGTCTCCAAAGAAAGACTACAGTAACCCTCTTTTTGATCTGGGCACGCAGCTGTCAATTCTGCAGCCTGCGAAAGTCTTCCGCGTCTCCTTTCTTCTTTTGGTCGTCGCCCAGATGCCGTTTCTTCTTTCTTCAAATCGTGAGTTTATAGAGACGTCACTGTAGCCTTTCTTTTGTCCGGTAGGAAAGTAGAATGCCTGATTAAGCGGGGGCTTAAAACCCGTTTTACAAAAAAAACAGAATAATGAAAATGTTCCCCGGGGACCGGTTGGTCAAAGACATAGACTTGTTGTGAGTGGTATTGAGTGGAGGAGGAACAAGTGGAGAAGTACCGTCGTGGCTGCGCAGCGAAAATCGACGAAGAGAAGAAGCGACAGGGTTCGCGATGTCAAAGGACAAGTTGTAGAGGATCCGTGGAAAAGGTATGGTTTTGTTGCAAGGAGAAGTTGAGTTACCTAGGGAGTAGGGGCTCAAAGTATTTGTATTTCGTTTCGTAGCGCATATGTTTATGTTGTTCTGTGTTATCATGTGTGTGCCATGTTTTTCATTTCATCTTGATCGAGTTCTTCAAAAGTTCTCGAAGCTCTTGACCGTTTCTTTCATTGGTGGGTCGTGGGGTTGCTTAGCCATTGATCGTCTTGGTCTCTCATTAGGCCGGTTGGCCCATCACACAGATCTGTTGTCGATATTTCAAAACGCCTCATTCTCAATGTTGAGGGGCCTTCAACAAAGGCCCTGAGCAAGTCTCATTATAATACCAATGAGCAAAGCGTCTGTCTCCAGCTCATCAAGCTGTTGCTCGCTAAAGGGCTCACTCCCCCTCAGTTGTGCGTGATATCCTTTTACAAGGAACAATCACTGCATCTGCAGCACAAGTTGGACGCACTCAGGGTCGAGCTTACGACAGTCGACTCAGTTCAGGGACGCGAAAAACAGGTAGTCATTCTTTTGACAACGAGCGAACGCGAACTAACTTTTCGCCCTGATTCAGCTGACGACAGACCGCGGCGACACAGCGGAATCAAAGTCCTTGTGCATTATTGCAGAAGAAGAAACAAGAGGCAAGCGAGTAGTGGCTAATAGTACGACCAGCCTCTTCTTGTTGTATAAGGCTTACATTACCCGGTCATCCCGTTGGTAATGGGACAAGATATTACGTGAGTGTTGAGAAAAGAGTGACACGAACGTTTCTCGCCACGGCATAATAGTATCCTACATATTGTTCGATGTATGCGATTATTGGTGATGGAAGCGCTGAAATCCGCACCACTTGAACGCCATTCCTATTCATGGAATTGCAGGCAGCGTTGAAAGCCGAGTCTAACTTTGTTTCGGGTGGCAGCGTTCTAAAACTGGAAGTACAAGTGAGTGAGATCGCTTTTCTTGATAATCACAAGAAACTTCTTGGATGGAGATAGGAGATTCGAGTTGCGGTGAAACGACAAAAAAAATGTTACTGACTGTGTCGCATTTCGTTGTTACGCCTTAGTTCTTTATTTGATCTGGAGTTGAAAAAGCCTCGCAGTAATAAAAGTAAACTCGAGGAGAAATCTGACGTAGCTCGAGCCAATTCTGTGTCCGTCGCCAACATCGTCGCGGATCTCCAGACCAGGACCCCGTTGAGCCTGAGCATTTACTTACAGAGATGAGTATCGTATATGAAGGAACGACATTGCAGATTCTTCGGCGACTTTCAAACAAACCATACGTTGCTCAACTAATACACTCTGGTAAACGAGAATCGTATAGTTACGTGGTCATGACGTTATTAGGAGAGAGCTTGCGACATATCACAAAGTAATTACCCAGAGAATCTGAATTTCAATTATAGTACGTTTTTAGCAGGCATTTCAGGCGACTTGGTAGAATTTTCAGTGTTTCTACACAAGTGCGAATAGGAATAAATGTTCTGTTCGGATTGAAAAAACAAATTCATGACTTTCGCGCTGACTCTGTGTGGGTTCATAATTATTATCATTACTGTTCAACCATGATTGTCCACCAAGTATCTATTGTAGAATCTAACGGCCTGTTTTGATTGAATGTGGAAATATACTTCGTGATGCTCGCTGCATATTCAGCTCGCTTATCTACAAACCATTTTCCAAGGTGTTGGCTGGCGCACACTATCTGGCGCGTACACTCTGCTGGTGCCCTTTATCACATCCTCGACTGGACCAAACATCTGTCAAGACTTTTAAATTTTGGAAATGAATGCTTTTAGAGTTTTACGTTGAATCTAGATATTGGTCATACAGCTGCAGAGAATAGAAAGTGCCTTGGCTCACGGCAAAGCCTTTGCTCATCGATCCTGGACCACCAGGAACTTCTGAACTCGGCAAGCAGAGTAGGGAGGGGGACAGATACTAACTCTAAGCCCTTGTCAGGAGCAGTATCACAACATGTCTCTTGCCACCAAAGTCTCCCTACCATGTTCGCTAAAAACGTCTGAATCACTTGCGTGACGGGTGGGTTCCCAGTTTGCTACGACTCGTGATGTTGAAGGGCCGTGTTAGTAGCAAATCGACACTGTTATAAAGGTCCGCCCACCGGGGGGTCAACGGGACCTGCACCGATCCAAGTTTCCAATCCTGCCCCCTAAATCGTGGAAGTGGACACCCGCTCTAGCCGGGCCGCGTCCTGCTGCGGGCATTCTCATAATGTCTGAATGGCGGAGCTCCTTCCGCTATTGTGTAAGGCCTGCGTATGCGTGATCTTTCAGCTGTTTATCAACTTCGGCCATGCCACCCACGCAAAGTAATGTTCGGCGACTCCTCTGACCGCCTAATCTCTCCTAAAGCGCTTGGATTCTCAACGCCCGGCGTTACTGGCTGGCCGGTGTCAGTAGATGATCTTGGTAACCGCCCACTTGCTTTTTTGCAGGCTGGCCTCATGTATCTCTAATCGAAGGCGCGTTATCACCTGGCCCTGCCCCCTTCAATAAATGGTTGCGCCGATCCTGCCGGGCGCGACGCGCCGTGCCCTACTACCTGGATCAACGTCCTCGTCGTTGCTCTGGCCGCGTGCTATGGAACTTCGTGGTGAGCGCAAAATCTTCCCCTTTCTGAGAAACCCGACTGTGGTTCTATACTTGATCAGCCTCCTTATCAGTCTCCTGCCACCCGTGCACTCCCACGTCGAAAATGTTCCAATCCCTTTTGCCCCCTAATCATCTCCTAATTGGATCCGAACGCCGGCCGTTTATCCGCTGACTGGGCGACATCTAATCTGAATTTGGTGACTTCCTCCGCTTCTAAATGAACCGTCCCATCTGCGCGGATCTTGAATCCGACTGTTATCGACTGTCCTGCCAACCACTTACCAAATAGTGTTCCTCTGCCCGACCCCCCTACAACTACTCGGAGAGCTCTTATCCAGCTTGAGGCGCGTGGTGCCTGCCGCTTCTTGGAAGGAAAGTTATGAAATTTCCCGGCTCAAAACACACAACAACAGATACATTACAACACTCCCAACACCAACAGAAACGAACACTTGGCGGGGACTTATATACATGGGGGGGGGGGGGCGGGGGCCAACAAAAGAAGTCATTCCGGCTCGAGTCACATGATGAGGGCGAAGTTTTCGCAGCCGGGGGCAGACGAGGGAGCTGGATATGAGTATCCAGAAGCGGAAGGATCCACCCAACAAGATCGTTCCTCTATAAGCTGGAGCACGCTGACTGGCGCCGATCGCGCTTTTTCGATGTACGCCAAATATGAAGTCATCTCCAGTCGGCCGGCCCATGAACTGAGAAATCCTTTGGCATTCACGCTGCTCGCCTCCAAAATCAGCTGCGAAACTTCTTGAATGAAGTCATCCACAGATAGCTACCTGGAGGTCAGTACTCTTGATCTGCAAGACCTCCCACATCGAGCAGCTACGGCCAACGTCGCTACGGTGTAGGACATCATCTTCACCGTATTCGCCGAGGCGCGAGTTGATGGTATGGACCGGGAAAAAAATACGCGCAGCTGGAAAGGGGAAGACCGATATTTTCTTTGTAGACCCCGACTGAAGGTGAGCGCTGGCGGTTACATCAAGTAACTCGAGAAGAATATTCTCCCTACATGTGGTGCCGCGTCGTAACCTTCTTTTGAGACCTTGTGTTTGGGTGCCACCACATGGAATCAAAGGGTTTTGGAAAAACTCCCGCCTACTTCGAATGGAAGGGCGTTTCGTACCTGAAGAAGATGTAATATTAAAGTATGTCCCCTGACCTGAACCCCACGTCATTAACTTAGCTTTGCGGGCGGAAATAACAGTGGGGCGAGAATCGACGATCTCGCCTCCACTCCGGTACCGTACAGCACTCACTTTCGCGCGGCCGATGATCTCTCGATGGCGCTCCTCCAGAAGGCTGTGGCGGAGTATCATTATAGTATTTAATGTGCTCTTTAATATGGTAGTAAAAATGTCCGATAAAAGTTTAATAAAGTGTAGACTCTTATAGCGGCCGAAATGTTATGGAGGCAAAATGACGTTTTTTTTGGCGCCCCCCCCCTGTATATGTAGGATCGTTTTTGGCCGGTAGATAGTTATGGGTGTCAGGAGAACAGTTTCGCCGGGCGCCCCGGCCCCCTGCCTCCCCGCTGACAACGACCTGCTGAAGCGCGGCAAACGGACATTGAGATTCGTGGAAGAGGGCCTGGGACGGCGGCCATTTCAAACCTCCCCGTCCGTTGCATAGCGTCTGCAAAGCGAAAGCGACTGACCAGGGGTCGTGGCAAAAAGAAAGATCACTTCGAACCGAGTCACATATCAACAAAGGTTTCGCTGCCGCAGTACAGAGGGAGTGCATTAGCGATACCAGGCGGAAGAGACGCCAAGATGTTCCCTCTAATACAGCTGATAGCTGGCTCTTCGCCCATCACTCTTCATGTACAATTCCAAAAATATGAAGGGCCATCTCTAGTGCGGCAGCCTGTCTGGATGAAGACTGCTGAATTCATGTCATCTCCGATACAGCTAACTTCATAGTATGGAGTCCACCCATCAAATAGGCTAATTGGAAGAACCAGTACTCTCTCACATCTGGAAGCAGCTCCAAATTCGATGCAGCCTCTCTCTTTTCTTATCGTCGCCACGTTTAGGACATCATTCTTTCACCCACAGTCGGCCAAGGTGGGGCGGGTTGATGGTGAACTGGAACGGACTGTAGGCTGGATTGGGAAAGACCAGCATTTTCTTCGTGGGCCCCGGATCGAAGATGATGCGCATGGCGGTATACATCGAGCAAGTCGTGTAAAGATATCCTCTCACATGGTCGTCGGGTGTGCGCGCGCGTCACCTTCTCGGAAGAAACTCTCGCCTACTTGGAATGGAAGGGGGCTGAGTACCTAAAGAAGATGGAATATCCAAGTAGGTCACCTGACCTGAATCCCCTCAATTTACCCGGTTCGGGCGAAGTTCAATAGGGGTGGAAAGCCACGGCGGTGGACGGGGGAAATTCGACTATCTTCGCTGATCTACAGCACTACAATCGCGCGTCGCTGTGGCAGAATCTTCTAGCTCGTCTGTCTAGAAGCTGTGCCGGAGTGTCATGATAGTATTTAAAGTATGCTCTTTCAATATGGTGGTGAATAATTGTCTGATGCAAGAATCCAATAAAGTGCTAGGCTTATAAGCGACTTCGAAAGTCAGTGAGGGAAAGTGCTTTTTTTGCGCGCCTCATCCACCGTGAATATGATTGGTGTTGATAGGTAAAGTAACTGTTGCACGTGGGTTGTGACACATTGGTCGGTCAGGTAAGGAGAAAGGTTCAGGCAGAGGAAGCGGAGAGGGTAAACGTTCCCTGGTTGCTCGCGTTCTCTTATGCGAATGCTGTCGCACCTCTTTCCAAATCAGGAGTTATCTCTTGCCACTGCGCTGACAGAAGGCAGCTCGCGGTCGCAAATGTGGCGGGGTCCAGAAAGGTGTATGAAAAGGATGAGTACAGTTAACTGCTACGGAAAATGTGTGTTTCAGATTGATTTTATAGCACAGAGATATCAAACCAGAATATGGCTCATTGGAGCAAATTGGATCACCAGAATACAGATTCATCCATATTTTGGATTTTGGTCTAGCACGAGAATTCGTGGTTCATGGCGGAGAAGGGAAGCTGAAAATGAGACGACCGCGCCAAAGAGCACTTTTCAGGTAAATGAAGTCTTATTTCCAAAATTCAAGCGTTGAGCAAAAAATCATGCAGCCTTGGGGTTGAGAGATTCGTCGAAATTCCTCCTACAGGGTCATCTCCTCCGTGGTTAATTATGAACATTATATGAACATACGATAAGCACCGCTCGCTTCTGAGACCAAATGACGACGCGCGAGAGGCGAGATCCTTGTCGACGTCTGTGGTGGCATGGATCGCTCTATGTCAGGAGCCCCTCGTCAAGCACTTTTAAGAAACAGAGATGGTACACCCTTCTCCCCCCCCCATTGCGAGCTAGCCCACTTTCTACGGTGAAGGAATTGCTTCTCTTAGAAACCTGCGAACTATGCCTTCAAAATAATCTCTGTTTAGAGGGACCACGAGATATTGCTCCGTTGCTACGCACGAGAAAGCTGAACAGGGAAGAATGGACGATTTGTGGTGTTTGCTCTATATGCTGGCAGAACTTCGGGGCCCGTTACCCTGGGCAAATGCAAGGTATCTGCACAAAGCTGTTTTATCCATTAAAAAAGCATGGCCCATAAGTCCCAACTTCGCGGAACTGTATACTACAACTTCTCTTTTCTTGCCTTGATCTTCTCCTTCCTTTCTTCCACTATTCTCCACTCCTGCTTCCGTTCACGTTATAATTTCCATGAAACTCTTATTAGACAACTATATGCTATCAGTTGATATCATAGAATTCCTGAGTTTCATTGGGTAACAGATCCCTCGTCTTTTCTTGTTGAATGGAACTCTTCAAGATTTCATTTGACGACGTACAATCTTTCAAATATCATACGTGAGCATCTAAAATAACTAAATAGCTACAAGAAGCTATGGAAATACGAATCGCTAACAAGTGACCAACCATTAAGGCAAATGTCTTTAGTCCAGGTGAC